ATTAATTAGTAACAACTTCATTGCAATCTAACATTCTAGCCGCGATATCGCACTTTAATTGCGACGTAACATTCTAACCGCGACGCTAATTTCTAAATAAAGCTAACTAATTTCGACGTTATACGAATAAAAATAAAAATGAATGTAATAAGAAATAAAATATAAGGAATAAATAAATGTAGTAGTAGATATAAAAATAAAGTAAAATAAAGTAAAATAGAAATAAAAGATTTGGTTCGGAATTAGCGTTAAATCCTAATTCTGGTAACAATAACAATTAAAGATGTGATTTGTGAGGAAAAGGGAAAAAATTAAGTCATGAATTTTTAAAAAAAGTTAATTTATAATATTTTTAGGTAACTACACTTTCCAGCAAATATCTTTTTACAACAATTTTAAATATGCGAGAATAAATTCTTGTAGATACTTTGCCACCACCCTCAAAAGAAGGGATAATTCTCTTTATTGTCAAAAAAAATTTTTTAATCAAGTCTTTTTTGAAAATGTAAAGATGCTTACTTGGTTGCCATTAAAAAAAAAAAAAAAGGGATAACTCATTAGTCCTTTATTAAAATTTTTTTTTTATTTTTGATAATATACACACACAAGCCCATTGTAAGATTAAATGATGACATGTGTAACAACAATCACGACAACGTCTAAAATGTTTTTTTTAGAAAGATCTACCACTATACTCGGGAAAAACTATTGAAATGTGACCGGCAACACTATTACTATGATTCGAAAACGCTTTAAAAAGGAGCGAAGGACAGCAATACTATAATTCTGGTTAATTTAAATCCCAAAAAGAAACTCAAACTGAAAAAAGGATTAGTCTTCGTAAACCACTACCTAAACAGAGAATATACACCAATCAGCCTTCGAGGTTCGTGTTAGTGTGATCAGGCGCTCACTGTCGTAATTATTGTTACACATGTCATAATTCAATGTTTTTAATAATGTGCCACAATTTACTTGACATCACAAACCATTTGGCGGATAGAGTCATATTTTTACTGTATGAATTATTTGGATATCGGATATCGTTATTATTATTACCCGATAATTTCGATACAATGTTGAAAATTTAACCAGTGCCTATCACAAATTTCAACAAAATAGTAATTTTGTTGAAATTCGACTGCGAATCGTCATAAAACTAGCCTAATTTAGATATCATCTGTATTAATTTCCATATTTAATTGGCGTTTCACAAATATCTCTGACGATCTTTTATATATATATATATAAATATGGTTTTGTGTGCGTGGTTTATTCCTTCTTTCTTTTTTTTTTCGTAATTTAAAATTTGAAAAATGGCCGATAATTTAATATCCATAGAAGAAGGAAGACCCAACAACATTGAAGATGATACTACTAGGTTATTACCCGACTCTGATAATCAAAAAAAATCAACTAATAGTAATACAAAACGTTTAGTGACAAGTATAATTATCAGTATTTATATTGTTTGGGCTTGTATAGTTTTATTTGTTATTAGATCTGGTATTTCGGAAGGAGGTATAAAATGATAAGAATTTTATTTAATTGAAAATTTTTAAACTTTTTGATTACCTATTAAAACTATCAAATCAAATAAATAAAATTAGAATCTAAAACGAAAAATTTAATCGTTGCACAAAATGGAGCAGTTGCATCTGAAGAAATACATTGTTCTCAAATCGGTGTTGATGGTAAAACCAATGGCTATATAACTAATTGTGTTAATAGTAATTTATTCATTTTAATCTTTAAATATAATAATCTTTAGTATTGAAGGAAGGTGGATCAGCTATGGATGCAACAATTGCGACTCAATTATGCGTTGGTACCATAAATGCATTTTCTACCGGTATTGGAGGGTAAATATGATAATTTTAATTTGATAATCATTAGGATTATCGTTATTAATATTATTTTTCAAATAGTGGGGGATTTTTATTAGTTAGAGATTCAAATGGAACTTTAGAAACATTAGATTTTCGTGAAGTAGCACCGTTGGCGTCATATAAAACAATGTTTGTGAAAAATCCCGAATTGGCCAAATTTGGTGGTCTTAGTGTTGGTGTGCCGTAAGTGATCTAAAACGTTGATAATGGTGAGATTGATGATAATAACAAAAATAATTAATAATAATGGTATAAACAATATTTATTTTTTAGTGGTGAAGTGCTTGGAATGGAGATAGCACACCAAAGGTAAATAATAATAATGTATTTATGAAATAAATTGCATATACAAGAAATGTTATCTTATCATCATTACTAATTAATATATATATATATATATATAAAGATATGGGAAATTACCATGGAAAAGACTTTTTGAACCATCAATCAAGTTAAGTAGAGAAGGATTTAAAGTACCACCTGAATTGGCCAATAGATTATCAGTACGTTTTTTCTTTTAATTTAATTTTAATTTAATTTGATGACTATTATTAAACATTTATATGTAAATTTTAATAGGCTTTTAAAGAATTTATTATAAATGATAAACAGTATTCAGCAATATATGCACCAAATGGAAAATTGTTGGGTGAAGGAGATCTTTTGATTAGAAAAAATTATTCTGATACGTTGGAATCAATTGCAAATAATGGGTCTTATGTGTTTTATAATGTAAATACATGTACTGTGTGAAAATTAATATATTATTATTTAATTAATTCTTTTCTTTTCTTTTAGGGATATATTGCTGAATCTCTAGTTAATTTCATTGGTGAGTCAGGTGGAATAATGACACTTGAAGATTTTCAAATATTTCAACCAATTACTAGGGAACCAGTGATTGGTTATTATAATGGTAGAAAGGTAATGATATAATAATGACATAATTTTGGCTAATAATATTAATACTAATATTAGTACTAATATTAATGTCAGGTAATTACTACTGGCTTACCTACATCTGGTCCAGCCTTGATAGCTATGTTAAATATACTGGAAAGATATCAATTGATCAAAGATGGTATGAATGATATTAATTTACATAGGTAAAATATCAAAAATTTTTTTTTGTCAAAATAATAATAATAAATAATAAATTTTATTATGATATTATATTAATATTTCACAATTCTTCTCCTTACTATTGTTGTATATAGAATTATAGAGGCTATGAAATGTAAGTCAATTATAATAAATTTTATAATGTTGTTTTGCCTGTAAATAGATATTTAAGAATTTTTTTATAATGGATAGTTGGATTTGCTTTAAGAACAGAAATGGGTGATCCGTTATTTGTAAGAATTATATTTATATCTATATATAAGATACTTTTCAAAAAACCTCCAATATTAATTAATTTATTTGTTCAGATTAATAATACAGAACGTGTCCTTGAAATAATGACAAAAAATTATTCAGGAAAATTAAGACAAAACATATCAGATGTATGTGACATTAATATTGATAATAATATTAATAATACTATATTGTAATAATAATTGTTATTATTTATTTATTGATTTATTAATTAGACTCAAACATTTGAGCCACTTTATTATAATCCTATATATGATGTGGTAGAAGATCATGGTACAACACATATATCAGTTATTGATAAAAACAATCAATCTGTCTCATATACTTCAACTGTAAGTAAATCATACATATATTATTAATTACTTACTATAGAATAATATAAATAGAAATAATTTATTTTTTTTTTTTTTTTTTTCTTAAAAAAAAAGGTAAATATAGTTTGGGGCTCAAGATTAATGGATCCATCAACAGGAATAATACTAAATGATGAAATGGATGATTTTTCTATTCCTGGTGTGACAAATTATTTTGGATTAAAACCATCTCCTTTTAATTTTGTTGGTAAATATATAAAATTATTATTATAATGATTTGATTATTGAGATGATATATAATAATAACAATAATTTATTATCACTTAGAACCTAAAAAGAAGCCTTTGTCATCATGTTTGCCTGTAATTATTGAAACAGATGGTCAAGTGGAAACTATATTAGGTGGTTCTGGTGGTTCAAAAATCATTTCATCAGTCCTACAGGTAAGAAGGGAGTGGTGAAGTTGACAAATAATCAATCATCCATCAATTCAATCTATTGATTAACTTATTTCTTTTTAGTACATATTAAATATTTATGACTTTGACATGAATGTATTAGAAGCAATCAATCAACCCAGAGTTCATCATCAATTAGTGCCAAATATTGTATCAGTTGAAGCAGATTTTTCAAGGCCTTTATTAGATCAGCTTATACTAAAAGGACATAATGTACTAATTGATCTTTATAATTATTACATATATGCAATTTGTTAATTAGTTTAATTGATTAATTGATCAATTTGTTAATTTATTTGTTTTGCTATAATTAAAGATAACGATGGATAAACCATTTGGTTACTCTCAAGTACAAGCTATTAGAAAATTTAAAAATGGAGAAATTCATGGTAATAATTATAATTTTTTTTTAATGAAAATTATTATTTTATTATTACCTACTAAATTAAATCTTTTTTTAAATAGCTGCAAGTGACTATAGAAAACATGGCATGGCAGCAGGATATTAAAATGATATTAAAAGGGTTGTTCATATTCAATTACCAGATCCTTTAATTTATTTATTTATTTATTTATATTTAGTGTATTTTTTATATTTGTAGAAATTTTATTTATTCATAGTATTATTTTTCATAATTCTTCATTAAATTATAATTACAAAATTAATTAATTACAAATATTATAAATATGTTTGCATTATACACTCTCATCCCTTTAATAATTAATAATTAATAATTAATAATTAATAATTAATAAATTTATTATTATAGTTAGCATTTTTTATTTGATCCATTTCTTTCTATGCTTTATCGATCTTCTTCATCATCAAAGTTACATAGTGTAACCAATTCTTTTTTATACTTTTCACCTAATTCATCTGATTCTTTAATAATAATCTAGAGTCTTTTAGTTTTGGTGTATGTTTATTTGATAAATTTCATACTATTTATCATCAATATTGTTACTTCAATTATCATTTTCATCAAATTAATTAATTAAAATGTTTTTGCTTCGCTGAAGTAATAATCGTTATAGTGTGTAATTTATACTCTGATTCATCAGTAAGATTAATTCAATCTCTTTGTTTGGTAAATTCTCATGTGCCAAAGAAAATTGATTATATTTGTAACAAGCATTTAATGCATGTAAAAATATTCAGCTACTTTGACTTAATATTATTTCTTGACAAACTGTCAAAGATTGAGTTATTCCCAGTTAGGCTCATTCATGAACAAATTAAGCTGACAACTCTGTATTTTATAGTTGTTGTTGATAATGATGCAATATTTTATTATTGCGTAGTTTCGAATATCACCATCACCACCATCCTTTCCTGTTAAAGCATTCGCATTTTTGTTATTTTCAACAATATGGTTGTTTAATTCTTCTTGGTAAGATGAATAAGTCCAGAAAAAGTTTAGTCTGTCGGATGTTAATGATGGATCTTCCTTTGAATTAGTGATAAAAAATAAAAAGAAAAAAGAATGCACATTTGAATTATTGATATAAATATTTCTAGCTAGTTTTTAATCTTTATCATATGTATATATATATATATATATTAAAGAATCATATGTAATCAGATCAGGAGAGTATCAATGTTCTTTCATTCCTTGAACTGAATCAAATCCCTTTTAATAATAATGTATATTAATTTTAATAAAAGCAACAACAGCAAATAATCATTGTCATATATTATTTTAATTGCCTTTGCACAAGCACGAACCATTAAATTGCAAGTCTTTTCATCAGGTTCACAAACTTCCAAACGTATATGTTCAAATATAACCCATGCACTTTTCAATGCTATAAATCGGCTTTATTATTATTTATCAACATGTGCAAATCGTGTTAATATTAAAAACATTAAAAATAATTCTTTAACCTGATTGGTATTAAATTTGTCATCTTTAAATACATCACTGGTCCTTCTATGATATGTGTAAGCTTCAATTAAATTTGCATACTGTATTATAATATTGCAAATAAATTTAATAAACATGATATTTTGACCAACGATTTTTACCTAATACTAAATAATTGTCTTTGATTTTTATTTACTAAACAATTTCCTTCTTTTAAAGTTTTTTTTTTAGGTAGAAAGTTCAATGATTTATTAATGATATCTTCCAGATTATTTCTTTTTGGTATTATTAGTGATGATGTCGTTTTTGTTTTTGTTATAAATTCTGATAAAAATCCATTCCTTGCATTAATCAAAATTTATTCAATGAAGTTGAAGAAGTAATACATATTTTCAACCATATGAACATTCCTAACGCTAATATAACTTTTGATTTTTAAAGTCTTGGTACCAATATTAAAGATGATTATAAAGCATTATGCTCTTGAAATGAATCTGCCAACTTCATTGTTTGGAACAAAGGAATAGCAACCTTTATTTTTGATTATTTATCAACTAAAAAACTTGAAGCAATTGAAGGAATTTTGCAGAAGTGATTAATGATCATAGATTTGTTACTTTTTTCAGAATCTTTGCGAGTTAATTTGTCATTTTTATAATTTTATTCGCTCTCTTGGTGATCATACAAGATCTGCAAATTTTGAGAGACAATTCCAATTATGATTTTCATATTGCACGAAAATTTATATATGTAGGGAAAAATTTAATTTGTGCCCAAAGTTGCGGATCCAACAATTCAACATCTTGTTCGTCTTGGTAAGTATCCTGTTTTCTCTGAAATGATCATCAATTATTATTCTGATTGTAAGTACTTGTAGGGGAAACGGTTTCAAAGGCAACAGCAATTTGGAGTAGGATAACTTCTACCTAAATGCTTGAGGACCAACAAAATCCGTTCTCGATCAAATATCTTTCACATGATTTATCCGATGAAATAATTGAAAACTCTGCAGTTATTGAGTTGCAATTAGCAGGTAAGACTTTTAATACAATTTGATATTGAATTGGACGATGATTAGAAAGGTTTAACAATTAATGGTGGATTCCCACAGTGTAAACCAGATAAAGGCCCTAAATTAATAATAGAATTGCTGGAAAATTTATCATAAATGTTAAATTCTCGAAGGAGTAAGTATTGGAAATATTTTATATGAAGTAATTGTTTTATTAACTTACTTTCATTAAATAGAATCGATTGTAACGTAGAAATAGAAATAAAAGATGGTATTATTACCTTTGTAATCCCACCAAAAGCTCAAAAAGAAGAAAGTAAATATATATGTGCAAAAAAATAATGTGGCATCGATTTATTTACAATTATTATTAAGTGTAACAAATTTTTTGTGAGTGGCTTCGTCATTGATGTTACTTGTTATTTATTGTTTAAGATTTCTACTCAAATAAATATTAATATTGATTTTTTTGTAATTAATCTCGAATATCCAATTTACACCGAATGGCTGGTTGTTTGAATAACAAATAATTGAGATATTCATTATTACAAATAGCAATTCTAAAATTTCTGGCCTTAAGCCAAGTTGAATGATTTAGTGATTTTAGATGTTTTTCTTTTGGTGTACCGAAGGCAAGTGAGCACTGTACTGAAGGGAAAGAAAAAAAGGCATCTAAAAGGTGCGCACTGTACTTTTTAGTACGATATCCACCCTGTATAAAAAAAATTTGGGAAAATATACGGTTTTTCTGTGCCAAGTATTAATACATTTTCCCTTTTTTGTACGGAATTATTCATGAAAAGAACACTTTTCCGTACATATTTGCACTGCAATGCACTGACAATGTATGGAAAGAGTATGGAATTTTCGGCTAATACTAACATTTTCCGTATATTACGATTTTTTTTATGTACGGTTTTTCTATGACCTTTCCGTACATAGTAATAGTCAGTGCATATTCGGGGTAAATGTGCATATAAAGAGCTCTTTTCATATATAATTTATACATATTCTGTAAAAAAAAAGTATGGAAAGACCATACAATATTCGAAAAAAAATTTTTTATAGTAATAGGAAAGATGAGTACCATACTGAGAGGTGTTTGGAATATGAATTGCTATGAAGTTTTTTTAGTACGATGCTCGCTTGCCTTCAGTATAGTATGCATTATAATTTTGTTATGTTGTGGTTTAGATGGTTCTTATTACATGTAACTTGATAAGTCGGTCAATCTATATAATTAAATTAGTCAGTTCACGTGATATTCACATTATAGTATATTAATATAGACTTTTTTTTGTTCTTCCGATTTTTTTTTTATAATCCTTTTTATAATGGATTGTCTCGTTACAATGGACTCTCATTACAATGGGGAAAAAAACAAAAAATTAGATATGGAACTTAGTAACAAGCTTTGACAGTATGTGTTTATTTATTAATAATATATGATTGATTGAAGAAACAGCTGAAAAATGATTAATGATGATGAGATAGTTGTTTTAGTACAAGAAGCACCAGAAGAAGAAGAGGATAAAATTTGGGCATTCTAATGTCAAGTACAATTGTTCCAGATATCATTCAGAATTTAACAAAATTCCGATATATAAGTAAATAGTATCAGAAATGGGAGACTTGCAACATCAAATTAGAAAAAAACAAAATGCTTTCTAAAATTAACCTATCTTAGAAAGTTTTATAATTTTTTTTTGAAATAATACGCGGTTTACTTGTCACACGAGCCACTCTTATACTTCTGGACGCATTTCCATGTCATTATATTAATATCAACTCTTAATCAAGTATTTTCTCTAACAATTTTCTAATAATAAAACTTATTGATATATTAAATAAAAATAAAATGTACCATGCCCCTCCATCGCAATGATACTGTCGTAGTCAACCAATCTAATGCCACGTCCAAAGTGATTACAACTAGTACTACTACTAATACATGAATTAAAAAAATTTTTTTTTATAATAAAATAAAAAATCAAGAAAATAGTATCACATCCAAAGAAATTTTTGTAGGTAGTTTCTTGAGAAGCAGACTAAATTAGTCATTAAAAAAAAAAAAAGACTAATACTAAAGCTATTACTAAGAAGCTAATAATTCTACTAATAATAATAATTAATATAAATCTGATTTTAATTTAGTCTGCTTCACCACCAATTCCTGACGAGTCCATATCGTTTGCACCTTAGGTCTTCTGCCTTCCATGTGTAAAAGTACTAATGAAAAATTAAAATGAATAAAAATAATGACAATGGCAATGAAGAATACGGTAATTAAGCAGACATGTCGATGTCAATAAAGTAGATAAATTGATATTTAAAGCGTTAATATAAAATTATAACCAAATATTTCAAAATAATTTAATCAATTCGAAACAATAATCAATCAACCCAAAACAAATATTGAAACAATTTGTTACCAACTATCTGGATAAAAATCAACAAACACCAAAATTAAAAAATATAATAATGCCTATCTTCTAAGGCTCCACATGAACCAGCACACAAGCCAAATAACTTACTAACCTCGCAAGCTGAATAAGTTATCTGACTCGCAAGCCAGCTCGTGAAGAGCCTTGCTCTCCTCATCGGCTCAACTTTTTTCTTTCCTCCATGATCAGCCTTTTCTTCCTAACCAAATACTATCCCTCCTTTGATGGCAAATAACGTGCATTCATAATAAAAAATGTCGCTCTAACTTTAAAATTAATATTCATCATGATGATTAGCATAGTGTTTTAATCGATCAATTATCAATTATCAAATTATTACTTGAGAAATATTATTTACCTGACACTTATTAAAAACCAGCATAAACTTGATAAAGAAAAGTAAAAACGCTCAAGAAATGGATGAAGGAATAATAATAAGGTATATATGAAGACGAATATGCGGATAGTAATAAAGCTAAACTAAAGCTAAAATAAAACTAAAGCTAAAAAGAAAGCTAAACTAAGTTAAAAGGAAACTAAACTAAAGTTAAAATCAAAGCTAAAATAAAACTAAAGCTAAAAAGAAAGCTAAACTAAAGCTGATAAATGAAAAAAAAATCGGAAAAGAAGTTGTGAATAAAAATGGAGGTATAAATAAAGGTGGAAAAGAATTGGTGTGAATGAATGTGTGGATAAAGGTGAAGTTGAAAATGAAAGAGCATACAAGAATTAGCACACAAAGTAGCACACAAAGTGGCTATATTAATGACTATATAAAGAGCATATAAAGGAGTATATAAAGGGGATTGATAAAAACGAACCCGCCTGATAAAATAAATAATAATAACAACGATACTAATTAATATAAATATCACACAAGCAAATTATTATTTCTTTAAATATTAAGTATTTAGAGTTACACGTACTTTTACTTTCAGAAAACTTGCACTAACCAAATCCACTATTTTCAGATAGTATAACTCCATCTATTGTATATAATAAAATACATAAATAATCAATAAATCATAAACCCGCCCATTTATTATTATTACTATTGTAATAAGACTTACTGCCATGTGGAATAAAATGAGCCAATCAATACATCAAGTGTCTAACTGAAAGTTGAGCAACGTCTCGCAACAGTACCTCAGGGAGAAGCGGCTGTTTGCAGTCCTGTTCGAGATAAAAGCACACCAGGAGGGATGGAAAAAAAGGACTAATCATCGGAATAGTTGAGCTGGAAATGAATGCACAAACAAACTTGTTGGCAGTGGAGCTCCTTTACTTTTATTTGTCCTTTTATATTGAAAAATAATAATGATAATGCTTAAATAATTAAAGCGAGAAGAATAAAAACTTATTTTGATGAATTTATTACATATTCCCAGAAATGAGTAATCTTATATTATTATTATTATTAAAATAAAATATTGCAGCTACAATAAATATGCAATAAATATTATAACTATAAATATAAATATACTAATAATAATAACAATAATATAATGGATGGAAGGAAGGTCTTTGCCGTCGTCGAAGGATAGAGCGAGTGGATGTTGCTGAAGAAGGATAAAATAGATGTCGCTGGAGAAGGAAGGATTCTTGCTGTTTACTTTTTGAGAGAGGGGAAATCTAAATGTTATTTATATATTTTATTTTCAATTATTATTGTTACAATCTGTCATGAGTATATGCATCTTTCTCGTGTTTCTCGTGTCTCTCCTTAAACTCAAAAATAAAAAACAAGACATTTTTATATATATCAAATTTTGATCACATTGTGTGATTGGCTGATTAGAGAAAATCTCTCCAAATTTCGTCTTTATTGATTCAGCCGCGGCAGTAACCTATATAGTTTTCTGGGGTTCTTTTTATACGCGTTGTTAGCGCTGTTATTGTTGTATGAAAGTCTAAATAATAAGATTAATTAGTTAGCCACGTGAAATGCGCAAGTTTGTGGAATATGACTAGTAATAATTACAATCACAACAAGAAGAAAGATCATGAGAAGATAAATCTTAAAGTCACTAACATTATCATATAGTTTGTTTCTTAATGGAGCTTACAAGTATCTGATACAAACTCCTTAACAGATTGATCAAACAAAGCTTTCAAGTTTAAAGGATTTGTTTATAATATACATATCAATTTCAATCAATATCAATCTATGCAAAGTAATCCAGTGTGTATTTTTTTATACTATGGTGCATACTATCACCAATTTCTCAAAACGATTTGTTTTTTTGGTCTTATTAAATGATCTGAATGACTAATAAAAAATAAGTCTGAGGTGACTTGCATCGTCTTTACATGCAAAAACTCTGACTTACATAGGTATTTTTTTCAATTCTTCTATCTTTTGATTGAAATAATATATAACCATAATGTTCATGGGCTAATCTTTCCAATATTACCAACATCAACATGTGTAATGCAATTTAAATCTAGTGATGATGATGTTAGCTGGTAGAAAAAACTTAGCTGGCTAAGCTAAACAACTCTAAGCCGTCCAAGCTATTTATTTATGTAATTTAAACAAAAATTATAAACAATAAGCTTAAAAGACATTCAATTCGACGTCTTTATTGTTCTATAATTGATTAATTTAACATCGATACAAAACTTAGGAATTTACTCTATATTGAACTTTTCCAAGCTCGGGATAAAGTACACTTTTTAGCTTGCCGATAACCATATGATACAGCTTTGATTGGGAAATTAAATCGTGGAAGATATGATATATTCGATCAATCAAGTGACAATTAATATTGAGTATGCAGGTACGAATATACATATTTCTTTTTTGGAACAAATCCATTATTATAATAGTTATATATATATAATGGTGCAATTAATGTATCAAAGTGAAGTCGAAATTTATAAAACAAAAGAAGTAAAATGAAATATAATATAATCATAAAAATATTCAAGTTATAGATAGTGTTGGTGCTGAATCTATTTGAAGAGCAAAATTCAAAACTAAATCAAAAGTCAAAGTTAAAAATCAAAATTAGATGGCGAAACCTTTTGGCTTTTACATAGTTGCAAAACTGAAAACAAAACGCCAATTACTAATGGTAAAATAATAATAATTAACACTAATACTAGTAATGATATGATATTTAGGAGCATACAATCATCAAGAGACCATCAAGGAGCAAAACTATCTATTTCAAAATTTACTAATACAGTAATATGGATAGATATGCCCAATTTCTACTTGATTTTAAATATCACACACAATAAAAGACAAATTTTAAGTGCGTGGGTAGTCAGAACTCCGGTTGATAAAAGATTCCGTTTAACAATTTTTAGCTTGATAATAAGGAGGAACAGTTACGACTTTGTACCTTATTTATTTTCAGATGAATTGGTAATTGCAGACCAGTTTTATGTCTGATGCATTCCCTGTGGGCGCGGGATGAATAGAGTTGGGTATAGGGTATTTAGTTATTTTCATATTTGGAATATGTAGATAAACTTGTATTGTAATCATTTGAAATAAATTCCATTTAACCTTAATTGTTAAACGGCCCGTTGAGAAATAAAAGTTAAGTTCAATATAAATATAAAATAAAATTATCAGGCAGTATCGATAGATACCTGCCTGATAACAAGAACTAATAAGTTATAGTGATTCGATATTACCAATCTCGAATATTTTGAAGTAGGGACGTGATGTAAATTGTTGTCGACAAAATTATTGACGATTAGAATTATTTTGACCAATGAAGTTGCTGTCAACGGAACGGTTAATCTTCGTAATTGGAACTTACGAGCATAATATTATGGGGAAAAATTTCCTGTTGGTATTCACGGTTTGGCGAGGAATGACCAAATCTTAAGTCAAGTGTGCTGGCACAGGTAAACATCAAGCCGAAGAAGTTTGAAGGAGCAATCAAAGCAATATTGACAAATAGAGGAGATATGTAAGTGATCTATTGATTTGATATTTATTGTGTGTACATAACATCATCGAACTTTTTTCAATATTCAATTTTGCAGTGAATATAAATACTGGGAAGCAAGGGATTTTGTGTACGTATGAAAAATAGTAATATTAATACGTAGTAATTTTATGGATCACGGAAAATTAAATCGGAAATGATTTACGAGAATAAGAAACAAATATTCCAACATTCTAAAATGTAACAGACTTTTAATTCTCAGATTAAATCTAAACGAAGGAATTTAATGATTTGATCATTTTAGAAATAACTTGAAAATAATTCTACAGTATAAATAACATGTCACATAATCATAAAATCAGTTTAGGAGTTTCGAAATAGTTTAGGAGTTTCGGGTTAGTTTCGAAAGTAGTTTAGGGTTTCTAAACTAGTTCAGAAAGGCTATTCCACCCACCCCTAACCTTCAGAGAGGATCATGCAACTATGCAAATAAGGTAAAATGTGTTTACTTAATCAAAGGTTATTTATTATTATATTATTGTTAGATTGTTATGAACATCATTATTATTAACTTTGTCTAAAACCAAGTATATTTATACTTATTGGAGTAGTACAAATAATATGGCTTGTGCTATTCTACTCTCCAATAATGTGTTTAATTTTTTTTTTTATTAATAAAATCCTGCTCATAATTTTATTAGAATAAAGTAAATATATTAATTCACAAATTAACTTTATATGGGGCTATTCCTTTTGCAATAATTACAAACAAAATCTATGAAGTCTATGAAGTCTCAATTTTAACAATTTTAACTGCATCATAAATATTGTTGACTGATCCAGATATTACCTAGGTAATAGGAAGTCAGATCCAGTATTAATTAGAATTTGAAAGAGGTCTTTAAGGCATGTGTGCTGTCTGATTAATTGGGTACAGGTTACTCCCGTTATAAGGATACTCATGGGACAAGCAAAAAATGTCCGTATAACGAGATGTTCTTATAACTGGAGTTCATATAAAATCACATGACTTGAAAAATGATTATAAATTTTTTTTATATAGAAATTATTAATTTAAAATCAACAATTTAGCAAAAGTTTATAATTATAATCATTAATGATTAAAACTTTGCAAAAAATTTTAATCTAAGTATTGGATAATTCATTGAAAACGTCATAAAAAAAAATAATTGTGAATAAATTTCTTTATTGTCAAAAATGTAAAATACTTCATCAATGTAAGTATTTCATCATCATCAAAAAACAATAAGAAGAGATCAATCAAAAACGTAAAATACTTTGTTACAATTCACAAACCCATTCTTGAAAATAATAGATACTTTGTCACCACCAAAACAATTTGCGAATTGATTATTATTAATTTTAGTGTTGATAATAATAAACTTGATGTAAGTAATTTGCGTTTAATGTGTTTAGTATTAGTAATATTAAAACATTAAAAACGAAAATAATTAGCTATCTGATTTTGTCGGGTATATGCAGATTGAGTACTGTACACTTCGCATCTTACTCTTTAAAATTCTTTGTGACATAACGTTCACTTTTTTGCAGTATTCTCCATTTCCTATAATGTACAACGATTAAATTTTTTAGTGAGAAAATCTTAACAATATATCGATATTAGTAAATTTTTAATAGACAATCAAAGTACATTGGTGGTCAATTGTACCACCAATAGACCAGACCTGATCCAAGAGTCAATTAGCCCGGCTATTTTCCAACCCAAATCCTCTCTAAGTTGGTTAAATTCAGTGTATATTTTCTATTTTGTGACAATTTATCATTTTAGGAATGGAAAAAAATATACTGTATATTATCAGTGTTGGCATTCTGCCGGCCAATGTGGCCAAAGCGGCCAAGTTTTTCTCGATGATTTGATATAAATCTGCCACATGATTTTGTATGTATTTGTTGGCTGGGCAAAAACGGTCAAATGCCAACACTGGTATATTAGTATGTAAAATATGACCTACAAATCAAAACAAAACTATAAGAGGCGAAGTAATTTTTAATTTAACATTAATACCGTCAACACCTTTGAGACTATAATTAGCTGGTAAAAGGATTGATATTATCATTGTAGCAATACAAGTAAAATTGCATTATATTTACTGTGTAATTATCCTCTAATCTAAAAACTTAGTATAGCCTTTTATTTCAAGTTTACACACCATAAATCTTGATCGCACTATTTGAAATGTCGATATTAAAATTATTTATGTTATTTGTGAAGAGTATAACAATGTTAATGAGATGGTGTTGGTTGGAGTAAAAATTTTGTATGCATAACTTCAAAAATTATAAAAGTATTTATTATTTTAGTTTAAATTCTTTAAATAATCAATGTTATGATGATGATAATGCTATGATGTTACAGAATTGATGAATTTACTCATGATTAAAGCATAAAACCAAACCAATATACATAATTCATCTAAAACATCTAAGATAAAACTTCAAATACGAATGGCTGTCTAGATTTCCATAGTTAAGTCTTAGTTAACATTAATAATTGATGTATTGTAAATAAAAAAAATTAATTTCACCACTAGAGATAGTGGATAATAAAATTTTGATGCACTATTAATGTATTTTATTTCCGTTTGCATCAGATGAGGCTTCAGTTGTTATTGGCATAACTACCAGATTATCTCAAAAGAAACAAATATTGGTTGTGACTATACATAGCTTGCTCTTGCATATAGGTTGGAATCGACTAAAATAGTCGGTCAACTAATAATAATAGTACAAGAAAATTTATCATTTAAAATGGAAATAATAATAACTTCTATGTGGAAGAGTATCAACATTATGATGACGATGACAATAGTGGTAGTGATGATGACGTTGGCGATAATTTTACATGTGAATTAATAAATGTTCTTGATACAAGGTCTAACGATTCATTGGCTTCAAGTTCCAATTATTTAAGCAATGGTTCTTTAAAAAAAAACGAACTGTAACTGTAACACATAATTTTGTGTGGAAGTATTTTGAAAAAGTGAAAGATTCAAATGGAAATGATATAAATAAATAATAATATTATTAGAATAAAAATTTAGTTGACTAATTAGTCGACTAAAGAAAATTTGACCAACTAGTGGTCGACTAAGAATTTTTTGGACGATTCCAACCTCTACTCTTGCATGTTATTCAGCTCGAAAAATCTGCATAGGAGAGTTGGAGTTCTTACTAGGTGTGAGGTTTTAAATCACCAATATTAAAATTTTCTGAAGTAAAATTTTTTATCAATACGAGTGGGAGTTAGTGTTGGTTTCCAAAACTCGAGAATTCCGCAACCGCGAGAAAGTCAAAAGGTTTCACCATAAGTCGAAACTGGTTTGGATTTTTGACTGTTGAGTTTTGATTTAATTTTGACATATAACTTTTAATTTTAGATTTGACTTTCGTCACTTCAAAATAGTTTTGGCGACCAACACTAGTGGAAGTTTTCAAGGCAAAATTTCATTAAAACACATATTGATTATTTGATTAGAAGGCGACGGTGATCTAGAGGTCAGGGTCCATGAGAACATGGAATAGATTAGCTAAACGAAGAGTTAGAGATATCATTAAAAATGTCATTGTAATAAAAAAATTCTACGTATGGGAAGCAGCGTAGGAGCAAGGATTATAATAAAAAATTTTGGAAGTTTATTTGGTGGTTTTGGCGGTGGAATTCAATGTCCAAATAGTTTCACAAAAAAATTTATTCGGAATAAAAATTATTATGTATATTTATGAACTGCTGTTAACGGATATAAATTCCACTTATCAATTAGGCCATATTCAAGAAATATAACAAGTTTTAAATATCGATTGGTTGCAGGGTTAATGATAACTTGCTACCACTACGGTGCGCTATAATATTTGTATACTGATCATTTGATTTTTTTTTTGCGTTACAATTTAATTATTGACTAATCCAATGCATCTTGATTGAATTGCAAACACGTCCTTTGATTAAAAACTTCAATAAGTTTTGTTTTTTGTTTATTTATTCTTTTGATTATGTAAAAATATCAAAGACAATATTTGTTCCTATTGATAGATACCACAAAAGGAATGATAGTAACCAAAGACTAGTTTTATAATTCCCCATTTAGGGGACTGAAACTTCAGGATTATCCGCTGTGCATGTAATAGTTAATTATGATTTAGTTTTCGTTTACAGTGTATGTGTCAACATCTTTAATCCTTTTAGATATTTTTAGATATTATATATAAATAAGAAGGAATAATAAATGGGCCGAGGTATCTGGGTTAACTATAACATTTTTTTAGTGTGTTGTAAGAGATTTCGTATGACAAAAAAATTTCAACTTTATGCCTCCTACAGTTCACGTGTTAGGTACGTGCAGTAATGTCAAATATCAATTTAAATTTTTTTTTTTTTTATAAAAAAAAGATATTTGAAAAGGTTAATTAAAACCAAAATTAAATTTTAAAATCTTTTTCATTTTCAATATATTCGGAGTTTCAATAATTCTTTTCCGATTTAAAGTTTAATTCAAAAAAAATTTTTTATTTTAATATTTTTATATATCCTCGGCCAATTTTAATATTAAAAAGTTTTTATTAACTTAAATTCGGAAATATTTTATAGGGTCATCCTACAGAAAGGTTCTTTTTATGGAATTACAGAACCTAAGTGACAAATAAGAATTTTATTTTTGGAGTTAGCATAGTGGAAATTTGAAATGTTTACACTAATTTTTTATATTGTGCAACGTAGCTTTACAATACACGGCAAACATTCTGGCAATAGAAAGTAAGTGATAAACTGGATTTGAATTGGATCTGAACTTGATCTCCAATTTAGAGAGGTAACAACTATGTTTCAGAAGCAATGAGTTCTGTATAGCGTTTCATTCCATAACTCCTAACGCTATTTCCTTTTTAGAATAGAATTTTGTAGATTACAAAAAAAGAAACTGTATATAAGATATTCTTATTTTATTATTATATTTTATAGTAAAAATTTAGCATACATAAAAGATAAAAATTTTGAGTAGACGAAAATTTGTTTTTTTTTTTTTATAAAAAAAAAAATTCACACTAATAAATCCATAATAAAAAAAATTTACAAAATAATGGATAATAATAATAATCACGATGGTTGGATTAATGGTTTTAATTTTAATGATGATACTCAAAACTCTGTCGTCAATAATTTAACTCTTCAAAATCCTGGTGGAAATAATTTCACTCACCAAAACCCTAATTACAATAATAACTTATTTAGCCAGAATTCTGCCAACAATAACTACGCTCATCAAGACACGACTTATAATAATTTTATTCGCCAATATTATAGTAACAGTAATTTTGTTTATCAAAATAATCTCGTTAATAATATCAACAGCATTGTCAGTAATAATGGTCTCGTTAATCAAAGTTTGATTGGTTCAATTAGTATTATCAATAATGATGATGATAACAATAGTGATCTCGCTGATCAAGTTTCAACTAATGCTATGAGTACTACTCATCAAAGCTCTGCCAGCATTAATTTCGTTGATCAAAATAATTATTCAGATCGTCATCAAATTCTGTCGTCATCATCAACTACAGAAATTTGACTAGTATTAGAGACTGAATTAGCTTGCATCAAATTTCAACTTTTAATGTCATAAGTCAGTTGTTAAATAATTAACAATAATGACTCATAGTTAATAATTCGTTAATGTCAATGACTAGTAACTGATAATAATAAAACAATAATAATTGTTTTTTTATAAAATAATGGACAATAATAATATAATATTAATTAGTTAATTTTCTTACTTTTAGTTTTATTTCTTTTTTTTTTTTTTGGTTTTTGACATTGTAATTCAAAATTAATTTCAATAGTAATGTCATTATAAACAATAAGTACCCATTTGATCTTAGAAGACTTTAAATTGTAACGTTTACTCTTTTATTCGACGCCTTTAATGTTCATATAAGTTGACTAGCTACTTTTAGGGTTTACTTTTGTGAATTAATTTAATTAATTATATTACAGAAAAAATAAATTTATTATTTGAATGTGTGATACAAAAAGACGAAATAAAAAAAATATTTTAATTTCTTTTTTACATCTAATTTATCTCCATCTTTTGGATAATGATGTAATTTATGAATCTATTTTCTCGATCAAATGAATTTTATTAAATTTAGGTATATCTTGGCAGCACAATAATTACATCTTAAACGTGTAGTTTTTGCGTAAGGTCGATTTTTTCTCATGTGCTTTTTATAATTAATTTTGTTTAGTATTATTTTGTCTAAAATATATTTCTTTTACCTGCAAAAATAGAGGTTTTCTGGAGAAGATAAAAACAAAAAAAAAATATATATATAAATTAAATGGGATAAAGTACATCTTCATAAAATAATAATATATTTTTAAAATAGAATAATAATACATGAATGAGATATGTTTATTATTTTGAACACTGTATAAAAAATAAAAATCAATAATAAAAATTAATAATAATATTACAAATTACAAAAATGTCGTACAAGTTTTTTGAACCGATTCATATAATGACAATTATATTCATTTTACTTGCAAATAAGTAAATTATCAATAAGCAAGTGAGTGAATGATAATCAGGTAAAGAAATAATACACACACACGCACACATATAAACTATTATTAAAGTATAAGAAAAAACCATCTCAATTCAATTTTTTTTTTACTTCAAAAATGCTCAAATATTATAAAGAATATTGCAATATATAGAACATGATCAGGTAAAGAAGTAATATATACATATATATATATAAACAATTATTAAAAAGTACAAGGAAAAAATAATCTCAATTCAAATTTTTTATTACTTCAAAGATGACAGAGAATCGTCAAAGAAAAAACAAAATTGGATTATAAAAAATATTACAACTAATGTATAGAACATGACAGGGAGATAAAGAAATAATATATATATATATATACACGTGCAGTATATATAAATTATTATTAGAAAAACAATCTCAATTCAATTTCTAATGACAGTGAATCCTTGAAGAAAAACAAAACCGGATTATAACAACTAATATAGAACATGATAAACAGTAATATATATATATGTATAAACTATTATATTAAAAAGTATAAGAAAAAATAATCTCAATTCAAATTTTTTTATCATTTCAAAGGTGACAGAATCCTCAAAGAAAAACAAAATTGAATTATAAGAATATTACAACTAATGTATAGAAATTATATATAAATAATAGGTACACTTCATGTACATGTTTAATAACATTAAAGGTTGATAATAGTGTAAAATTAAATTTACATGTGGAAAAGATATGTTATGTATTTTAAATATAACCTTATAACAAAAAATCTTTTATGTTAGGCGGTATATATGTATATGAATATCTGATAGATGGGAAATCTTGGGGGAAGGAATGTTATTGAAAAAACCCATATGCATAGCATTTATAATTATTTTTGAAGTGCGTATTGGCTACCAACCCAATGCAAAGAGGAAAAATAGCGAAGGAAACTATTTATTATGATTTGTGTATACATTTTATATTGATAATAAAGAATTCTTCATTCCAACTGCGTTGGATGTTGACCATCTTTGAAAGTTTTAAAAATATAAACTATATATGCTGTAGTTTTTACACATTATTTCCTAATTGAAAAATGATTTTTGAGATTGTATCATTAACATAGTAAAGGAAAAACAGTGTTACATACTGTTCTTAGTGATGAATGATTGTGCAAAGTAAAGGAACAAAAAAAATTACTTTGCCGATCATTTTGTATTATTAATTAGGTGAAGATAAAAAACCTTCTTTCTCTAATACTTGGTGTACATTATGTGATGCTCCATTATGTTGTAAATAATGGTAAAAACTGTTTTAAAATTTATCATGAAAAACAAAATATCAATTTAAATGAGGATTAATTAATTATATTTATCATGAATAAAAATTTTTACATTTAATACATATTTCAGGTATATTATATCTTTACATTGGCTTTAACTAAAACTTAAACTTCAAGTTCTGAGGAATAAAAATGGTATAAGTTTTAATGAGGTCATTTTTTTTTATGATTTCCAGTTTTCTTTTTAAATTTTTTAAAAAAATACCATTATTAGAATATAAATTTTTACTAATAAAAATAATTAACAAAACTATAAAAAATTCAAAAAATTTTATTATTGTTGTTGTAATAAATAAGTGATTGAATTTATCATATTTTCATATACATTTTAAAAGATAATTTTAAATTCCTTATTTTCTTTCTCCCTAAAAATAAAATTTTTTATTTTATTTAAAGTTGCTTATGAATAATAAGTGTAAGATATTTTTTTACTTTTTTTTACTCGATTTTGGAAAGAAAAAATTCCGCACCCAAAATGTAATATAATAAATTAAAGTAGAAAAGATCTTCGGAACGCATTATAATATATCTTCTAAAATAAAATAAAATAGACATTGTTTTTAATGTTTATTTTAAACAGCATATAAAAGGTCAAATTAAAGAAATGGCCAAAGTAATGTTGTTTCTCATTAATCAATACTTGGTTCCTAATAATCTATTTTTTAACAGAGTTTTCTGAAGAAGATAAAAATCAAATATATGGATTAAATCAGCATGATGGAAGTTCAATTTATCACGTTTATCACTTTGTGACGATCTTGAAAATATGTTGTGCGACTATATAATTTTAAAGTAGATTGTATATGTAAAATCACGTTTTCAATTGACAAAAAAATTATTTACATAATAATTTTCAAATAAACTTCGTAATTATATGTAAGATTAAAAAAAAAATATAGTTTCTACTTGTGGCATCTCTAATGAAATAATTTTCACGAATTTTTACTAGAAGCGAAGGAATTTTAAATAGTAACTTCACTTTATTAAAAAACAACTTTTTTCCAATACAATCACAGATGAGACACTACCATTAGATGTAAAATCAAGCATAGATTGTTGTTTAAACATGTGGCATCTC